CGGGGGAGACAGTCTGTGCCCGTTATCCCAATAAACATCCCTCTGATTCTGAGTATTGTCAGAGACGTGCTTATGGCTTTGACCGAACCAATGAACTTTCCATATACATACTATTTATATCTCTATATATTTTGGTATACAAATATGATATATGCACATCCAGAAACAGCAGTGAGCAACCTGTAACACCAGAACGAGACACAGCGTGAGAGGTGAGAGAGCTCAGAAGTGTCTGTCTGGATGGTGAAGTTGCAGGATGATTAGAGCCAAGAGCTGGTTCAGTTCCTCTACTCGTACTTTGGGAGTCACAAATTACAGCTAAAAGGAGCTAAACGTTAAGAAATAAACACTCACAAATAAAAAGTCTCTTTATTAAGATGTGACAATTAAATTTAGTGTATCTGAAAACCCCTTGTGGAATAACCAATAAACACATTTGGCACTCCAACAAATACAGTTATTTCTTGTACGCAAGAGTTTATGTAGATCACCTTGTCATCATTAGGAGATTGCGTTTTTAAGAATAAAGCCCTGTGAAGAAAAGATGTATACCTAATCAAAAAAATCAGGGAGAGGCTACACACAACAAACCTTGCTACATTGTACAATGCAACATTGAGATATACTCTTAACTTCTTAAGTTGTTTTCGGTAATATTAGGAAAAGTAAGTTGTAATGGTATGGTTTTGTTTTTGTTTCATGGTTGTGAAAAGTGTTTTATTTTTGTGTTGCATTCACGATGCTTTGCATCTTTCTGTATGGAGAAAGTCTGTGAACCAGACACTGATTTCCATTTTAAAGCTCACCCTGAACTCCGAGCCTCCTGCAGAGGGGCCAAATGCAAAGGGCAGAAGGACAGACCAATAAATAAATAACGCTAAAGACACTGCGGATATTCTCAGACACGGGAGGTCGGTGGTGGAGGTGCATCATGTGGGATCAGGGAAGTTACAGGCAGGCACCGTACAGTTAAGAATAGTTTGAGACAGATACTGATGTTTTTTCTTCTTCTTATCTTAATGTGGAGACTTGTTAATAGTGGATCAGCCACAAAGCCAAATAACAAACAAATTAGACAAAAATAGATGTAAGATATAACAGTGTGCTGGTCAAATACGTTTACAAATAATACCTTTCCCCAATACACTTTAATCCAATGAGACTGGGCAGCCACACACACACAGATGTGAGATTTTGATTTTATAATGTTTGATTTCATCGGCCCTGGCTGGACAGACACAGAGATAGAGCCGCTCATGAAAGTCATGAGGCCTCATTTTATGTGGAACAGTGGAGAGAAAATTGATTTGCCTGAAGAGGAGTGAGGGAAAAAAATACAGGCTCGTCACTCAACAACAGGCCCACCACTACTTCTATCTCAGATTTCCATGGAACTTGCCAAGCCTGGCAGGTGACTGGATGAGACACATGCGACTCCCCGTTCACCTGAGCTCACCATCTGTTGCCATGCCAACAGAAGATGTGGCCTCAAGGCATAACGGGTGTGTGAATAGATTTGCGCCGACCCCAGGCAACGCTTGGATATGCAGTGTGGCGTCACTCTTATAGTTTCACATAATGCTGCATCCGTAAAAAAGACACAACTGTAGATAGAAATAGATACTATATTTATTATTATTCATAGGCTGAACTGAACAAAATCTACCCATCCTGTCTCTATTATGCGATTTATTTTGCCTTCATCCCATTTTAAGTGTAGTTTGACAAAGAAAGAAAAAAACATTAAGTTTCACATTCAAAGGGTCTTTATATAATTCAAAAGGACCGACAACCAAAAGCATCCATTTATAGATAAATGTCTCTCAGATCTTAGAAATGAGGTTCAACTTTGGCTACAGTCAGTAATTGTTGGTTAAATCATGGCTAGGATCATAATTGACAGCATCATTCTTTAATAGAATATTACTTTCGGATAGATAAAAGAAGATGGTTCAGACAGAGAACTTAGTGTGCTCTGCTGCAAGGGTACAAATAGATTTCACATGACTTTTTGTAGATTAATACTGTGTGAATTTGGAGGTAATCCAAATTAACGACTGTTAAAGATATGTAAGTTTTGCTTGTAATTGAGTGCTGCAGGAACAAGAGCTACATCCAAGAAATTAATTCTTTGTATTTCCAGCTAACTTACTCACCATCTAGCTGGTAAATGTTATCAAACAGAAACACGCTTAATACGAAGTGGTTGTCTACAGACTATCGCTGCCTTTAGGACCAAGGAATCCCCAACCTGCCCTCCTATTGGCCCGGATCCATCTCCTCCAATCTTTTAGCAAAGGCCGTTGATTGCCACATTAACCATTTTCCATCCATCTTTTCTTTGATTGGTGCACAACACCTCTGTGCAATCCCAGCTTTGGAGCTTGGCCCAGGGGAGGGAGGGAGGGACGGACGGGGGGTCGATAACTGATAGTGGCGAGCGGGTTGCATCGCATCGGCAAGCCTGGGCCTGCCGTCAGGCAGAGCGCGGTGGCAGGAGAGCGGCACTCGTTGGCCACCCGTTGAGAACCTGACGAGCTGAGAGAATCAACGTGGCAATCAGTCCACCGCTCTCCACGAGGACGGACGACAAATTTAGCGGGAAAAACCACAGAAGGCTGTCACAGCGTAAAGCCCCCTCAATGTGTGCACACACCCAGTAATGTTTGTGGACAAGTAACCGGTCAATGGAAAAATTTGAGATGGCCGAAGGAACCAGAGAAATTCTAAACCTCCGAACTGACCTACAAAAATCCGTTGTCCGTGCGCCGCTTTAGCCGAACTTCTCTGTGCTAAGTTGCCATAGCCGGCGGGCCTTTTATTGCATGTTAGTGCATCTGAGCGTGGCCCCACTGGCTGGCACACAACAGCCATTAACGCGCCGCTCTCACACATCAATCTCCGCCGGGGGCGTTGATGCAATCAAACTAAACGCTTGTACACAGGCCTTTAAAAAAAAGCCTTGTATTCTGTAGCAACCGTCTAGATTCAAATAAATATACAAATTATTTGTGTCCACTGTGGGATAACTTGGTTTTAAAGCCATTTTCCAACTTTAAAACAAATCTAAATAAAGCTTGTAGCCAGAAATAACAAGACCCCAAATTAAAGTTATTAGTTTCTTTCCATTATTTATAGATAATGAGCACTTTTTAAACTTGTGTTGAACAAAAAAGGAACTAGGGTAATTTGCAGCATCCTGGATTAGGCAATACAATTGCAATGTGGTGAACAGGTTTCAAGCAAAAGAAAATATGCTGAGAACAGCTCCAGCATGCAGACACTCGGTGACTCAAATATAAAGGCAATAACACATGAGAGAGACTGATGGTCTGCTTGAATATAAATGCAACCTTTTACACGCCGAGGGGCTCAAATGAGTGGCTTTTACTGACCTTGACCCAGAAGCTGATGGGTGTCTCAGGGCAGGTTTTCCCACAGGAGAATGCAAATTGAATTGGCTTCTATTTTAAGCAGAGGTGCATCTGTGCTGCACGGCCACTAGTACTTCCACAAGAAAAGAAGAAGAAAGAGTGGCTTTAATGTTCAGTGGCCGACATGGTGACATTTTGTGGCATTAAGAAGGCCGTGGTTATTTCACGCCGTTCCACTTTCCATCCCGACAACAATGAGAGGTAAAAGCATCCAATCTCAAGGAGAGTGCTGCAAATTACACCCAAATTGACCCAATTTAGTGTCCTGTTCCAAATGAACTGACTGGAGGAGGACATTTCCTGCATAAATGTGATTCATGAAAGACAAGTCACAATATTAGTCTATATGACAAAAAAAAAAAAAACTAACTACCCTCCACCTGCCTTTTTTACTCCTTCCTGGATATCTGTTTATATGCCTTAGAGGGCAGGAACAATGCTTTAAATCAACAGATTATAAGAGGCTTACTGTCATTGTAATTCAAAGGTTTTTCAGATGCAAGGCCACGTAGTCTGATTAATTTATCAGACTGTACAATGCCACGTTGTCATTGAGGATTAGATTCTTTGTAAATCCCCCCGAGACGCGAATCGTGCTTTTCCCCACGCCAGATGGAGGTAGGCAGAGCCATCCTCCTCTGCGATGCAGTTGTGACAAGTGGACATGTGGGCTGCTAACCCGAAGGTATGGGGGGCTCATTAGATCCCGAAGGAGAAGACCTTGACGCTTGATTCAGCCACGCTCCATTATTAGCCACAGCAGCCACCCAGAACCTTCGATACCTCATCACGGACATTTGGATGCTTTTCTAACAATTATCTGAAAAACATTTTTCCCTAACAACACTCAATGGACTCTCAGCTCATTAAATTTAATGGCTGTGTGGAAAAGCTTGTAGGAGACAAGCTGAATGCTAGGGACCACCGGATAGACAAGGAGAGGAGAATTTAATTATGCTGACAGTAAAGCCCCCTCCCCCCTCTCAAACATGTCTCCTATTCTGTGCCAACTTGGGAAGAGAAAAAGGAGGAAAAAATGGCTGACTACCTGTGGCTGCTGGGGTCAAATTGCTGACATGGTCAACCGGTGCACCTGCGTGGATTTAAATTAAAAAGATAAGGAAGCAGACATTTTACAAAGCTCAACTCCCCCCAGATGAATTCATCGAATCAGTCCTTTTCAACTTGCTACGGTCGATCCGAAGGACTTCGAATTAGCCAACAAGTTTGGATGCAACCCGATTATTGGCCAGCGGGCCCTGAACTTCTGGCATGCTGGTGCTCTACCAACCATCCAGAAAGGGTTTATGCAAACACTGCGATGATCCCGCTCAATGACGTCAACCACACAGACCCCCCGACAGAATAAATGAGCCTCAGTTTACAAACTGTAGCAATCTGTGAGGCTGGAAGCGGTTTGCGCCAAAGGCAGTGTTTGTTGTCAGTTAAGCTCACATGCTGAGGGGGGGGGGGCGCGGTGAGAGTTCAAAGTCTGCACACCAACGGTCCCCCGACTCACAGGTGCCTCCATTTGTTTCCAGGAGATCTAAAGACAAGACGAAAAGCTTTGCTTTTGAAACTTTGACATTTAATTGTGTAAAAAAAAAAAAAGAAGAAAGAACAGATGAGACGAAGAACATTTGGGGAATTCTAAAACAACGTATTGGTCTGCCCCAATAACTTGCATGTAAAAACGTCAATGAATTGAAATTTAAAATTCGGTGAAAAAAGGATATGCTGCCACTTTTCGGAATGCTGCAAGTATATTGTATAATGAAAGATGTGACTGTATGGTTCAGTACTATAATGACAAATGTATGTCATGAGAGTGATATCTATGTGTATAAAAAGGCAACATTGTATGCAGTGCATGACTATCATCAACAAGAAATCTAATGATTAGCACAGTTTCACAAATAAAAAAAATAAAAAAAGGCACAACACTTTCCTGTAGCCTACACATTTCCATCACAACGGATTGCCCGGTTTATGACTCAAACAGATCACAGATGGCCAGGTGTGTTTTAGACACAGACAGGGCCGGGTACAGAGGGTTGGTAAATCTGTGCTTGTAGGAATGCATTAAAGCTAGACTGCCCCCTGGTGTCACATTAAAGAATGACAAAACGCCCTCCTCAAAGTCAAGGAACACTCCCACCCTGGTCAGCCCGTCTCCATCCACAGGAACCGCCACTTTGTTATGCAGCGCTTCCACCTTCTTTCTGTCGCAGGCCAGGCACCAGGAATACGAGTTGAAGCCCAGACGAGAGTTGTCCTTCTGGCCCTTCCTCTCGATCTGACCCTCACACAGCCCCACCTTCCACCGGCCCTCGTCCATAGACACATTCACCTCCCAGTACCAGGAACCCTCCTCCAGGGGTGAGGGGGCCAGGACCTGTGGAAAGGAGCTGAATCGAGCCTCGTGGTCCGTGTAGGCCTGCTGGGCTTCGCTGTAGGTCACCGCCCTATTGTTATCAGACAGCTGCAGCTTGGGATGAGCAGTGTCTGCATCCAAGAAGGGACTGATACCATCTTTACAGGAAAGGAAATTACGGGAGAAATATATATGAGGAGAGTAAGACCAATTGTCACTTGGTGAGCGGCAAGCAAACAGGTGTTGGTACAGAAAAATGAACACCTACAGAGTAGTCTGTAAAGGTCTCTGTGTTTGCCGGGCATAATGATGACAACTGTGTCCAGACGTTTCTCGGTCCAACTCTGCAGGCATTTGAGCCGAGCCCGGTCCACCTCCTCTGGAGCCTTGAAGTGGTCCACAAAGCTCCCCATGTTACTAGTCCTGGTGAAGAAAAGCAGAGGAAGATCTGAAAACACAGAATATACTCGTCCATGAATTCCCATTTAAATGCTAGCTAGGATGAGCCTGAAGATAACTTTCTTATCTTTCAGGTGTTATCCGTTTTAGGGCGTTCTAATGGATGGACAAGTGGTGGAGGGGAAATCCAGGAAATGTTTTTTCTCTAATATTTACTTCAGTCAGGTGTAATCCAGGTTTTCCAGGAGGCATGGGGACAGCAAAGTCTGGATATCCAGCTTTACAGGGGCACTGATTAGGTAAACTTCTTTTGATTTTTTTTTTATGTAATGTAATTATTGGTTCTTCAATGCTATGAGTACCAAAACAAATTCAAATTGGAACCATCTAAAAACCTTGAAACTTTTTTATTTAAACTCTTTACATACAACCAGTTAAGAGAAAATCACTTACTGTTGGGCGACCTTGTTGTATTCCTGTCACACCAGAATGAAGAAAAGGGTTAGTGTTCATACGTCAGTAAAGTCAAAAGGTAAAAAAAGGATCTTAAAAATTGTACTTCTATCCATAATCACCATAATGAAGAGCTGGTCCTGAATGCGTTTGTCTCCTTTGGCATCAGCCAGCCCCTCCAGGGTGTGGAGTCCCTTCTGGATGGTTTGCAGGGAGCTGCGGAGGTTGCAAAGTTTCTCCTCAAGGCCCCCAAGAACTTTGTGTTCCTCCTTGGTCACACACTGAAGAGCTAATTGCTCCTCCTGCTCCAAGGCCTCTCTGATGGCTTGGTACTGCTGCTGCACTCCAGCTCGAGCCTCGCTTAAAACCACCTGGAACGACACAATTTTTTTCTCAAGCAAACGTTAAATAGTAAAACATTTGAACAAGACTCATAGATTTCATTAATCTGGGTTTTATAAATGCGGAATGTGTAATTAAAAACATACGTGTTTCCATATCCTGAACTCATAATACAATTAAAGATGTACTATGGAGATTGCCGGCTGAACATTTAATGAAAATTAGTAAATGAAGATTAATCATATGATGAGTAGTCTTCTCATTTATTTATAATAAATGAATGTGTAATCTACTTAACTATAATACATTACTATGTATATTGTAAATTAAACCTCACCTAAACATGCACACAAGTCTCACATGTGTAAAATAACATTTACATCAGCCCCCCCACCCCCAAAATGCATGACATCGTTGGAACTAAAGCTAAACGTCTTACATTGCAGGTCTCTTTCTTCTCTGAGAGTTCAGTCACCCTGTTCTTCACTTCCTGTTCAGCCTCCTGCAGTTGTTGGATTTCATCTTTTAGGTTCTCCTGAGGGGAAGAGGAGGGGGAGGAAATTACTCACCAATTATTCAGGCTTTATTTACACGCATCTCAACTTCGACCACCACCACTGCGTATATACGGAGTACACGCGGCGCTACTCACCCGGAGCTCTCGCTCTGCCTCCCTGATGCTGATGCAGACGTGGTCGCGGTGCGAGCCGATGACAGTGCACACCGTGCACACACACACTCCACACTGCCGACAGTAGATTCGGTTTATCTCCTGGTGCTCCTGACATCTCCAGGGGGAAAAATCCTCCATGGGGGGAACCAAGGTATGATTCCGGAAGACAGGGGAGTCCAGGTGGGGACGCAGGTGCTCCGTACACATGGAGGCGCCGCACACCAGACAGGTCTTGACAGCGGACTGACACCGAGTTTTGGGGCAATAATGGCAGGGCACAGGGGCGGCATTTGTGTTGTCCAACCCCAGGGAGAAGCCAACATGCCTTGGGAATCCCGGAGCGGCAGCAGGAAGTTTGGCGACAGGAGACTTACCTTTACCTGGAGTTGAAACTCCAGGAAAGGAATCAGAGTCGGCAGATTTCATTGGGGATCTGCAAATTCCCGTCACTTCTGGGTCCTTCTTTGGAGTTGCAGGAGCATCGCATATATCAACCTCATTGGAGGTGTCGGAGTTATCCAATGAGATCATTTCAACTGATTTATGCTGCTTCTGCTGGATAGAGATGTCTGGTGGAACGTCCCTTGCAGGCACTGCCTTGCTGTCAGAATTGTCACTGAAAGACTTCTTGTCATCAGCAAGCTCAGACCTGGTGAATTCTTGGAGCCCTGCTTTCTTGGATGTCCCCACACTCGTAGCCTGCCGGGTTTTATCCGAAAAGGAAGTGGTAGGAGTCTCGGTGTCATTGGACCGCTCACGGGGGGACTCCTCAGTTGATCGTTTGGTCTCAGGTTGCTCGGATACTGATGTGCTGGCTTTTCTCTTCCCGAGAAGTCTGCTGGTGAGCGAGGGCCTCCGCAGCGAGGGATCTGATGGATTTTGTTCACCATTACCAGATTTACCTTTAAAATAGAATGCAAACAAACCAAAACAGGTTAGAGGGAGGGTTAACGGAGCACCTTTAGAGCAATATTTCAGAGGGGAAAAAAACGACTGCGAATCGTCTTCTGCAGAAGTGACTTAAAACTGCACAATGTGCACTTTCACTAAATCACTTATAGCAGTGATCTAGCTGGTTTGCATCTGTCATCCATTATGTTGCCTTGAAAGCTGTCACTGAGTCTGCGGCCCGCCCTGACTAACTGGCATGTAAATGGTAGGGAAAACGTGTATTTTACGACACGTGTCTAAAAATCACGTGTTTACGTGAGAGGATCCTAGATATTGTATTGATGCTGCCTTACAAGTTGCACAAGTTGTTGTTCACTCTTTGAGTGAAACGTTAAGGAAGCGGATGTTACCTAACGGGTGCCAGAATGACTAATATTGAATTATGGTTAACGTTAAGTCAAGGATAGGGGGGAACTTTAGTGAACGCCCGCATTCAACGCAACCCACTTAAACGTCAAAAAAAAAAATAACGTTTTCTAAAAATGCTATTAAATGAATATAACGGAGCTCAAGCTAAGTTTAGCTTAGTTAGCTAGACTGTGGCACATTCACTTCCGGCCACTTCAAAAAACGTTATATTCAGCGTTTGAGCATGAGTGAGTCACGTGTCCCGTTACCTGCATCGCTGCGAGGCGGCGCCCATCGACTGCTGGTGGACGACAGCGGGCGATCAAACGGCAGAGTCTGGTACACGGTTTTACACCTCCACTCCGGACAGTGGTACGGGCCGTTCGGGGAAATACTCCACAAGTCCCCGAGACACCGCTGGCAGAACCGGTGGTTACATTTCAGAATGACGGGGTCCCGGGTCAACTCGTTGCAGAGAGGACACCTCGCCGGGGTGTCCAGAGACGCTCCCATTTTGTTTTGGCTGCTGTTAAGCGTTGTTGTTTCCAAGGTCGGGGAGCAGAAGGGGGCGGGGTGCGATTCAAACACGTAGCCCCGCCCCCTTCTGCACCCCCTGGCAGTTTATGTCTTAAAGGTACAGTCCATGAATTTCTGAACATGAAATATAAAATATATCTCAAATGAATGGTACACTCTAGTCAGCCACTTTCATCTGCCAAAGGTTTGTCCTGAGAAACCTAATGTTACATAATAGTAGTAGTATTTGTGGTTTTAAAACAGAAGTAAATAATTGTTTAGCCATAACACTTCATGCACTCACTCATTGTACTGCAATTTAGTCAAATGTAAGTTGTTCCTCATATAAAAAGAACCAATGAACAAATACGTCCATTCACCACAACATTAAGATTTTGGACTATTTAAGTTTGATTATTTCTGACCTTAAAAATAGTAGCTTGCCAAAACCAACTCAAGGTCCTCTAGTCCACTCTCGATGTGTATCACACTCGTCCTCAGCGGGTGAACGAGCTTGCAACAGATCTACGACAAATAAGCAAACTCTCCCCATCGACAAAGTCTGTGTCAAATGACTGTTAAACGTTTTGTAATAACATTGGATGATTACCAAAGTCAACTGCAGAATTAATTATTTCTCTAAATAAAACTAAACTCTTCCGTGTGCAGTCGTTTTGAAATCAGTATTCATAATTATGTTAAATGTGCAAGTACTATGTGTATTTCTAACATTCGTATGTTGTTCTATTTCCGGCTATGATCCTTCTAAAACATAAGAAGTCATGTAACCTACTACTTTCACTACGATAGAAAAAAACTAAGTTCTAACTATCAAATTCCCCACTCAATGTCCACATTTGTCCCTTTTAAAGGGCAATTTTGCAATGTGTTACATAAAGATGGTGGACAGATGATCTAACTGGATGCAGCAGACACTGAGATATCTTGATGTTTTGCAATGTATTAATCTCCAAAAAATCCTAACATACCCTAATGCAACTCGACAGAAGTAGATAATGCATCATAGAAGCCTTTTCATAGGCTGAGTAGTTATACTATAATCAGTCGTTAATCTTGATGTGAACAATCAATACATTTCCCCTTAACTCAAAGTTAACTTTCGTCAAAACTAACAAGAAAACACAACAATATTTTACAGTGAAAACCTTTATTAAGTGTTAATATATTCTTAAAGGAAACTCATGAATTGGTCTAAGTGAACCTCATTTTTTGGTATCTATAGATTATCTATTTACATAGGAACATATCCACAGGTGATGCTGGGACAGGCTTTACTAGCCCAACACCAGAGGAATTCACTCCTCGGCCACACCAGTCATTATACATAATACTCCATCATGTTACCCTGTAAGTCCCAACAAAACAAAGCAAGAAAGGGAGTCAAAAGTCAACGAGAGAAAAACAGAAAGAGAGAACTAGACAAAAAGGGAGAGGCAGACAGCTAACCAGCAGGACCGTTGTGTGTCGGCCTGGCGTATTGGTTCTTTAAGCCAACTGTTGCACACCAACACTCACAGATGTGCATGCACTTACACTCACTCAGACATGTCAACAGACCTCCTTGCTTGCTCTCTCTCTCACATACATACACTCATGCACACACAGAGGTACCCTCACACAGCAGCATACAAGTCCTGCAGCACACAGTCCTAATAGCCTCCGTCACAGTGTAGATACCACAGACTATAAAATATTATATTTCTTCTCAAACTGAAGCGCTGTGCAAACTTAGCTAGCAGGGCATTGCATGGAACTCTTAAAATTCCTCTTTAATATTCACTGTACATACTTTTAAACTCCTTTTAAATACAAGATTTTCTTCTCTTTTGGATGACAATATTCTTATAAAATATCTTAAATATATATTTTTCCTTCTAGTAGTTGAAGAGAAACAAAGGGGTGTTTGAGCAAAGAAAAAAACTAAGACTGTCATTTCATTGTCAAACTCCACATATGAAACACAACAGATTTACGTCAACGATATTATCTAAAAGTGAGCAGTTTCTTCTTTTCACAAATAAAACATGACACACGTTCTGACGGTGGTACACACGGCTAAGTGTTAACATAGTTTAATACTTTAATTACAGAGTATGCTGATGTTTGGTTTGAATGTACTGTGCGCGTGTTGAGTCGTGTTTGTGCATATGAGTGAGTTGTCGGCGTGTGTTTGTGTCTGTGCTCATATATTGCAGGTGTACCATGTAAACCCTGTGCCTTCTCGGGTAGGTAGTGGGTAGTCCATACATTTCCCAACAAAATAACAGTCTCTGCCCATGCCATGGTGTAATCAATGTTACCGAAGGGTTACGTCTGCAGACAGATTGGGATAAAAGTGAATTGGGCTCCATCTAAACGCTGGGGATGATTTAGGGACTGCAAGCAAAATGTATGGGCTTTCATGGCAAGCTACACTGGGGTTACTGGCAGGAAATTGTGAAAGGCAGCCTGGCTGTTTCCAAAGTAATCCTCTCCTCCACAGACCGGGATGGCCTCCCTCCTCCAAACTGATGTTGAGGGGTTGACTGGTACTTCATGAAAACAGAAATTTAGGAACCTTAGAGAGAGAGAGAGAGAGAGAGAGAGATAGAGAGAGTTTGTGTTTGTAAGTCCAGAAGACACTAGTATGTTTAAAGCACTGCCGTACAAAAGTCATTGAACTTAACATTATGCTTCTTCAAACTTATAACTTATAACATATAACAAACATATGTCACAAAGGCTATTTGTCTGCAGATAGAATGCATTTGAGTGCATTTGTGTTTCCATTTCATGCAACTTTAAAAAAAAACTAGTCAGATTATGATTTGACATACTTAACTCATGATCAACTCACACATTGTAATATATTTTAAATTAGGCAGTCTAAAGTTATTAGAATTAATCAGCTACGCTACGGCATTAAAATGTCTCAAAGTAAAACGTCAACAAATATGACACAGACAGTATTGTGGATGCATTGTGATATGGCTACTTTATCTTAAATATTTAATCTAAGCACTTTAATCTGGCTAATGGGGGCAATGGGAGGCAAAGAATGAGGATTTGTATAGATTGTAAAATGTATTTACATTACACTATTGCACATGGATATTAGATATTAAGAACAATGTGCATGACGGCTTGTTAATGCCACATATTGATTGACGTGAACACATTTCATGTTGATTATGCCCTGTCCTGACTTACCTAGAAGATTTGGTTAGGCGTTGCCTCCCTCTGCAAAAACAAAAACACAGAGTAAAACATAAAAATGCCACAACAGGTTCTCAAGGTCATGCTATTATTAGACTCCCACTTTCACACATTGCCACAAGCATCCATCCCTCACTATGACTGATAATGTTGCACACAGACACCAGTAGATGGCACCAGGGATGAGCTGATCGGTAAAAGACTAACGCCCCTATGAACTATTCATAAATGGGCGATTGTCCAGAGACTAAGAAATGGTAAATCAGTAAAAGGGAGGCTGTTTATTGACTGCTGAGACTACAGATAATCCCGTTCTGAGTTTGACTTTAGATCTTTCATCTTGTCTCCCTCTCTCATGTTTGTCATTTACCGGTAGTTTGAGATGAGAAAACAAAATTGCACTCATCTCATCTGAGAGCTGCTTATGAGACCCTGTGAATTACATTGAAGGCCTCACCCACAGATGATCAAACACAACGCCATGAGGAAGCTACATGTGTACTGTCATAATAACAAAGTCATATTCAAAGCGTCTTCTACCACGCTAGAATATCGCCCTTTCCCTCCTTCATATTACATTACATTACATTACATGTCATTTAGCGGACGCTTTTATCCAAAGCGACGTACAATAAGTGCATTCGACCATAGGGTACAAACTCAGGAGAACAAGAAACAAGAAAGTGCAATTTCCTCAAATAAGCCAATTTACAATTTGCTATAGATGAGTGACGTTACAAGTACAATTTAAGTGCTACAATTTGTTAGTCTTTAGTCGAGGTAGAGTCTGAAGAGGTGAGTCTTTAGTTTGCGGCGGAAGATGTGAAGGCTCTCTGCGGTCCTGATGTCTTCAGAGAGCTCGTTCCACCATTTCGGCGCATATTGACTCTTTCTCCATTTTATTTATTTATTGGGTTGTTGGGTGGCCATACCGGTCCAGTTACTTTATAAACCACAGTGCACATACAAACTAATCCAATTTCCCACTGGGAGACATACTGTTCCGGGACCCTGGCCTCTACACAATAGTTCATACATGTGATAATAGGTGTATCAGTAAAGCATATAGGCAAGGGCCATTACCATGACTAAACCATTACATCCCGGGTCGATGAGTAAACTACTTTCTATTTTAAGCCTGGTGGAAAGCATGCATTTTATTTAGTCTATTCATAAAGCAAGCTTTAAAGTAATCTCATTTAATTTAAGATGATATTACCAGCCAACTATTGCAGACATTGCCATGACAGTGCAGTTTTTGAGTGAATAAATAATTTGAAGTAAGTCCCAAGTGTGTTCCTCGAGTGTTCTGCTCTGGACTCAGATCTGATTCCTGGCACAGTGCACAAGAGATGACTGAATCCCAATAAAACACCACATTTAATCAGATTGGAAAGGACATTCTCACCCTTGCTCTCAGCCAGCAGCTCTTCGGTCATGAGGCCGTCCTGCCGGTTCCCCAGGACGAAGGCCAGGAAGGACAGGATGAGAGCGTCCAGGATGCCCATAATAGCCAAGATGTAGGCCCAACGCACTGAGCAGGCTCCCAGGCTGTACTTGTCTGTCTGCTCTCCGCACATCCGCCGAATCTCGTCACTGTCCCAACCATCAGGATAGATCATGCAACCCAGCACCAGACAGACACCTAGTGAGAGGCAGAGAGGAGGGGACGGGTTATAGAAGGAGGAGAAATGAGGAGAAATGTGCAGTGAAATAAATGGATAATCAAAGATAATGAGGCTTTGTGGGGAAATGAACTATGCAGTATATGGCCGAATACTCTTTTTGCCGTCTTCTATTGCATTAATCACATAGTTTCTTTTACGGCTGCATTAGATGAGAAGTGTCTAGACACAATGAGTGCAAGGGGAAAAGCTATAAAAACAGCTGTAAACATCCACGGCAGCAGTCAGAGAGGGACACAAAAGAAACAAGTTATTAGAGCAAAGTAGCTGTTCTGATGGTATGAAATTCCCTAAAAAACTGCCAATGATTTACTCACATAGTTAACTTGTTTTTTACAACATATTATGCTGTCTGTGAACTGCTGTCTGGATTATAAATTGTGGTAATATTAGATTTTACTTGCTGCTACTTGCTCAATGTCAGTTTTCAACAGACATTTGGGTCTCTCTCCTCTTTAGTTCAAGCCCACGAAAGCCCTTGCTGCCTTTTTTCTTTAGATTTTCAACTAAGCTATTTTCATTCTCAGTTTTCACCCGAGGGGTAAAATCTCTCTCATCTTCATTTAGATTAGGTTCTCCTTTGAGGTGATGTTGCAGCAGAACTGCAGATGACCTGGAAAAATAAGCTGACTGCACAATTATCGGCCATGCATTGCACATCATTAATAGAGTAATTCTCCCCACTGCTTCATCCCCCCAAACGATTGCAATGTTTCCTCCCTAAATACTGTTGGTTTGCATACTGGATTTGGGATTTTTTAAATTTATTCTAGTCTGCTAATCATGTAATCAGCATCTTTAAGGACCTTTATGTTGCTCATATTGGCATACAGAAATGCATGTTTATTTAACTTGCTTATTAGTGACCTCATTTGTGATCTTCTAAAGTCTTATAACCAAAACTGAGAATAATATACTCTTTCATTTTATGCATACACAATCAGCCAACATACGCATTAAAGCGCTCACACCCTGCAGTTTGCTACAGTAACACTGCCGTCTTTAACAGCGCCGAGAGACATCAGGGGGGTGTCGAGAGACTCTCAATGAAAGGAAGGAAGTACGAGTGAAATTACGGAGCAATACATGCTGCAGTCAAATTGCATACTTAATCGGGTGGAGTATCCCCTGAACTCCTCTTCTACCTTCCCCCACAGCTCTCAAGTGCATATGCACACACCGGGTCAAGAAAGCAGGGCCTTATTCAGGCTCAGATGCACACAAAGCAGAGCACCGCAGTGAAATGTTCTATTTTCAGCATTTCAATTAGGGCTTTGTATGGGTGAGAGACAGATTTATGATTCAATAGATTAAAAGATAGTGTAAACAACTTCTTCTAATCAGATCAAATCAAATTGTATGAAGAAGAGGCTGCATTTTATTCATCGTATTATAAAAGCGCTCATTCCCTGCAGCTAATGACAATTTGGGTTTTATATCGACAGTCCCACAAATACATTTCTTAATATTTTTGAGCCATAATGTCTGCGCTGTTTGGCACATGTTACTGAGTGACCGAGGCTTCGGCCACATTGTGATCGGTGCGAACAGGTCAACTTCTACCTGCATCACATGGAGTCAAATCAGTGGGCCTGTTGGCCTGTGGCTAACAAGTCCCTGGTGACAGAGACGTTGATTGAGTCTAAAGAGGCTAGAGAGAGGCTCCTGATTTAATACATTAACACAAATGTGGAAGTGTTGTTGAAGCGAATCACCTTTTAATAGCAACAGCTGTGCTAGACCTCAGCTAACGTCTTCGATGCAGTCAGTGCAGAAGAAAGGAAATAAAGGTTTAACCTTATGACCAACACGACTGCACCAAAGCTAATAATCTTTCGGTTTGTCTTGTAGTGTCACTAATTCACCAATGAGCCGGTTTGTTCCCAGCACGTTATCTTTACTTCATCTGTCTCCTTTATTCTGTGTTAGCAGAGGCTAACTTGGTACTTGGTGAAACACAAGGTCAAAGAATATCAACGATCCTTTTCAACTTCATCCGCAAAGCTCACATCTCTGCAGAAGCGGCGTGCAGAACGAATACAAGGGAAACTCTGACCAGTGTAGCCTAATCTTTATTGGCAACATAGTTCCACTAGGTTTAGACAAAATGAACTGACCTGCAAAATCAATTCAAGCTGCATTTAAATGGTGAACTTCAATGTTGAGCTTATGAATGAATTATTTAGAAAATCAGCAGTTCCTTAGCAACATTTCTTTGGAGTTGTATTTCTGTCGACTTGCTGAATGTAAGTCCAATATTCATTTTATTTGTAGCTGTTTTTGTCTCCTAACATGTGTCTATTTTGCTGCTAACTAATCCACTGTGTTCACCAGTTACTTGCTAACTGAGTACGTAATGAAGACCTTCTGTATTTTGTTTTTTTTTACCTCATCATTGAAACTTTTTTCCCGTTTTCATTTCAGGCATTGTTTTTATAATTACAGCCGTTTTAAATATTGTGTGTTTTCATTTTTTAAATGACCTGCATTGGATTGTTGGGCTTTTTCTAGAACCACAAGTCAAATCCAATCAAGGCCAAAGGCTTGCATTCACAGCAGTGAGGACCTTAACATGTTGTGTTTTGGCTGGGTGAAGAAGGGTTAATTCATGGAGAAGGCAAAATAAAATACACCAATAAGAATATAAGTACAAGTAAAACAATAAAACGTTGTAAACAAATCATACATAACAATGAAAATAGAAGTGACTTTAAGAGGAATTGTCCGTCCATCCTTCAGCTGAACACGTTAGTTAGCTGTTCTGTCATGTGGTGACCTGTAAAGCGGAAGCAGTCCTCCAGTGGCAATATGAGCAATCGTGAATAGTGGTGTGGACGAATGAGATCCTACCATCCGTGCTTCTCCAAACAGCATCAAAGCTAAGCAGATCGTTGGGTTTTATGTAACAGCTTTCACTTAACCAATTGCCATTTGATATTTTATGTGCCCATCCACTTTTGTTTTCTCTTTCCCCTCATGATGCATCTACTACAAAATTAACAAATGTTTCTTCTGGGTGTGTCCTTCATGGGTATCTTCGGCGCCATTGTGAATATTACATTGAAAGTCAGAAGGAGAGAGAAGAGGAGCACAGTGCGCTGGGGCGGTTGAAAGAAAGTGCAGGATGAAGAAGAATAAAAGAGTTGCGCTCAGACAAATGGTGAGAAACGCATCAGGAGACGAAGACCAAGGAGAGCAAGAGGTAAAAGACTGAAGGAAGAATCTGTCACAGTCATGAATGCCATACATCAGCCACGCCTGTTTCTGCGGACAGAAGTCTCGGGGGGCCGCAAAGGTCAGGATTACGCCACATATGCTCCTGTTCCCAGAAACAGCTTGTGGGTAGAGACACGCTGTTACAGTAAGCCTGGAGTCGACTAATCCATAACCGCACAAAGCAACCCAGCAGGCCCGTTCCAGCATCCACTTACATAATAGGGAGCATAATCAGAACTAGAGCACCTTACAGCGTACACATGTTAATATATAGTATATGGTGCATTTATTATAATACCATTTGGGATATACTACTGTATTGTGAAAGTAGAAAAATCACCATAAATGCAAAATGCCAATCAATGTGTCAGGGATGCGTGGGGGAGGCAGAACTCAAAGGCAGACCTCTCAGGAAAACAAAAGACTTTATTAGTCAAAAGGCCAAAAAACAAAGGAACCAGGGGAAAACCAGCAGGCATGAAACTACGGACATCCACGACGATAGACAATGACGCGACCAGTGACACAAGAGACACACGGCCTAAATACACAAGGGAGGTGCAGGTGATTGGACACAGGTGGAAACTAGTAGACGATCACAGGGGATGACGGGACAAGGCAGGAAGTGAAGTTACCCGGGGACACGAGTGGCAGAAAACTACAAAATACAACAGGAAGTGAACCACACCGTGACACAATGCTAAATAAATGTATTACAGAACGTATTCAACAGATAACTCACAACAATTTGAATCTTTTATAAGCAAGATTGACGGGCCAATTGTGTTTTCTATTGCCACAGATAACAAGCCAAACACACAAAAAACTTGTAGGCAACATTATTTGTTAATCTTGGTCCCTCAGAGTTGAGAAGTTGGCATTTAAAAAAATCATTGATTTTGTAAAAAACAGCTACAACAAAAGAGAGAGGTTAGTTATAACGCAGTAAATAACCTAGTTTTTATATTTGTTGTCCCACATTACAGTTATTGTGGTAATTGTAAGAAATCAGAGCCCACCCTAAAAGTACATTAGTAGGTTGGAGGGAACATGGCCCTGTAGGTGACAGAGATACATTAGGGTGTGTTAAAAACCAAAATGTTGCTTGGAATGCCAGATATGGGACACGCAAAGTTAAGTATTCCCAAGTAAACATTTTCTCATCATCTTTTGGCATCCAAGTTGCTTCACCCACTCACACTGCAGAGGAGCAGAACCTCATGCTGCAGAAACAAATGGTGTGCTCCAAATCCTCCAAAACGCGGCTGTCAGTCAGAACCAAGTCGCTGGTTCGCCGCCAGCAAGTACCCAGCACCCAGCTAAAAATGACCAGAGGTGTATTTCACAAGGAGATGACTAAATCCCTTCGATACTGACAGAATGCCCTCGCATACTGTAATCTGTGATCATCATTTGCTAGTATAGTCTTGGTGACTGAACATCCAATGTAAGCTCCAAGAAGGAAATCAGAAATATATCACGTATACTGTACACTGCATTTGGGATTTAATCCCCAAAGCATCTGAGTCATGTTTTACAAAATCACTGTCAACGCAGTTGCAATTTTGCTAAGTGTGTTTCAGCGTGTCATTGATGGCACTGGGTGGCAGATGGAAACACTGAGTTATTTCCATCACTTACTCATCTGCAGTGCATCTAAGCAGCCATGAAAAGGGATTTTGATTTTGTAACTCCGACAGTGCTTTGTAGATCACATTTCTCCTCTCTAAACTGAATTATGCAT